CAACGTGTCAGGGTAGGATTAAGTCGGGCCTGTCCCCTACAGGGGGATTTTCGACGACAAATGGAAAATACCCCAAATAATCAAAAAATATTACTAAAATGGTCGGGGGACTATTTTTGGAGTACGTTTTGACCTTTTTGGTGCATTTCTGGGGTATGTCTCACTTGTCGTCGAAGATCCCCCTGTAGGGGGACAGGCCCGACGTAAGGGTAGGAGGTCTATCCACCTCCGATGGTTGTTGCTCCCCTGGTTTTGGACACCCGAAATGGGCACGGAAAGAATGGGCACAATGCCCAACAGCAAATGTTGTCCCAAACCAACAGCGGCCGCTGTTGGGCGGGCGGCCTTCTGTCTCAGATGGACACGGGCCGCGGCGGCGCGGACAGCGAGTCCTGCTCAACATGAACAGGAACTGCTGTTGGGCATCGTACCCATTCTTTCCGTACCCATTTCGGGCGTCCAGACTGGAAGACCACACCCGAGAAATCATTTCGAGCACCCGGAGAAGTGTCGAAGGAGTGTCGAAACAGCGTCGAAACGGTGTCGGACGAGCGTCTCCCAGGGCCCGACGCGTGAAAACCCTCGAGCTTCGGCACTTACTTCTGCTTTGTGCTCGAATTCCTGTGTGTGGTCCTCTCGTGGCCGCCGGCTCCCCGGGCCCGCGCCATCGACCCGCGGCCTCGGCACGGACCCGCGGAGGGGGGGCACCCTCGGGCGCCGCAGCGGGCCTCTGGCGCGACTGCCGAGGCCGATGGAGAGCCGAGGCTGTGCGCGGTTGGCTCGGGCGTGTCCTCCAGCAGGCGGATCCTGGACGTAAGTAAGGACACGAACTGTGGAGGCCTGGGAATGGGCACCAACACCAAGACAAGGGGGCTGCCTCCACACGGGGGAGACGATCCTAGATTTCGGTGTTGGTGGTAATATTTCGGTCACTCTGGCAGCCAGAATATTACCACCATCGCCGAGATCGGGATCTTCTTCCCTCGGGGGAGGAACACCGCCGATATTGGTGTTGGTGTCAACCTCTAGGCCTGCGAGAACTTTCTATACCGACGTTGTTGTCCGACCCTGCGCCGGGATTCGCACAGGAACGCGAATCCTGGCGTATACGGGATCCTGGTGTGCACATGCTTCGTGGTTTCCCTTGAAAGACGGGGGAAGAGTATACACCACACCACCCCGACGTCGTCCCCGACCCTCAAAAAGTCTTGGGATTGAAAAAACAGCACGCCACTGGTGATGTATATGTTCAAGCTTCCGAGTAAAATTAGAAATAGTGAAAAAGTACCTTGACAAATGCTCAAAACTACTGAAACCTCGTCCCCCGATGATTTTGCTACACGCCCGACTCAAGCGTACGACTACTGCTGGTGGAGTCGTTTCTGTGCGCACTTGGTATCCCATGGGGTGGGATAGAGCTGGGGAGAAGAGCAGCGTTAAAACTTTTGAAGGCACTTCGGGACATTCCCTCGGTTTCAATAAACCGTGACACGATGCATGGCCGAAGTGCTCCTCCTGAGCACTGGGAACACATCGGCGTGCTGGCCCATCCGCGATCTTTTCGGGTCCGGCGGGGCCCTCCAGCCTTACGCCGTGGCCGAAACAATTGCTCCCCATAAACACTCGGAAGAAAGACCGGCGTGCCGGCCCATCTGCTATCCTTTCGGGTCCGGCGGGCTCCTCCCGCCTCACGCCGAAAGGATGCTCGGGGCTTGTTCCGGGGAGGGCTTCCCGGGCCAGCATTAAGTCGGGCCTGTCCCCCTACAGGGGGATGTTCGACGAAAAATTAAAAATACACAAAAATCCAAAAATAGTCCAAACATAGCCTGGGGACTATTGTTTGAGTATTTTCTGGCCTTTTTGGCGCATCTTTGGGGTATTTTTGGGGTTCGTCAAAAATCCCCCTGTAGGGGGACAGGCCCGACATAAGGCCAGCAGGGCCGCTGGGGTGGACTCGGCAGGACCTTGCGGACCTCCAGGACTCTCGGGCGCCCCTGCAGGACCGGGCCGTCGCCGAGAGGCCCGGGAGGAGGCAGGAAAGGGGGAGGGTTAAGTCGGGCCGGTCCCCCTACAGGGGGAGTCTCGATGAAAAATAAAAGATACCCCGAACATAAGCAACACATCGTACCACAATAGACGGGGGACTATCTTTTGAGTACTCTTTGACATTTTGGGGGGTATTCGTTTTTTTTTTATTTTTCGTCGAGGATCCCCCTGTAGGGGGACGGGCCCGACGTAAGGGGAGGGACGGAGGGCTTCCCCGGAAAATTCAATTCACATCTCCACTGACCCTGCGCAGCGCGTGGTGCAGCGCAGGGGGCGGCGGACCGCCTCCCCATTCCAGCATCGTCGGGGGCTGCGGAGTCCCCGGAGACAGAGCGGGGTGGGCACGGGCTGGCATCAGAAGCTGGGCTTCCACCAAAGACAACCATGGTACTCCAGAGTTCGTAATAAAGGGAGGGGGGATCTCGTTTCGGGGGGGGTCTCTTCCAGGCTATCTTGGAGGGCCTGGGGGGTCTGGGGACGATGTTTTGGAGGATTCTCCCACGGGAGAGGTCTGAAATGGCTTGTCTTGGAGGGTCCAGACCCCCTCCCTTTTATTACGAAATCTGGTGTAGCTTCTAAGTCGGAACGCAGGACTGATCCACTGACGGGTTCAATTCACCCTCCATTCATTGGCATCAAACTCATGCGAAGCAGCACGCTCTCCCCCTTCCCTGGCGCGCGGGCCCAGCGCGGATCCAAGAAATCCGCGCGGAGCGCCAAAAGCTTATGTTTCTCAATAAGGAAAACATGCTCCAAAAATAGTCTGGGGACTATTTTTGAGTATTGTTTGACTTGTGGGGGGCATTTTTGGAGTATTTTTTTTCCTTCGTCGAAAATCCCCCCGTAGGGGGACACGCCCGACTTGACCGTAGCCATTTCGTTTCGCGCCGAGCTCCCAGGCTGGCGCCCGGGGGCTCCCACCCGGCCTGCTTGAGCAGGTACCGACCGTCCCGGCATTCCTATAGTCATACCACGAGATGTTCTTAGAGCCCAACAATGTTCTAAGAACAAGAACCATGTTCTCAGAGCGTCAAGCCCGATGTGTTGACACAAGACAGTCTCCGCCAGAAATGTTCTAAGAACATCCCCTGGGAACCACACACAGTTTCTTAGAACATTGTTTGGTGGGGCACGAGGAGGAGGATGAGGAGGAGGAAGAGGAAGAGGGGGAGGAGGAGGAGGAGGAGGAGGAGGAGGAGGAGGAGGAGGAGGAGGAGGATCAGGAGGAGGATCAGGAGGAGGATCAGGAAGGACGCTTCGCCACTGCTTGACCTGCGTCAGGAGGCCCGCTCCTGCCCCCGCGGGGGAGGCTCCGTGCGGGCCCCGCGCCGCGCGCCGAGGGCCCGCGGCCGCCGCGGGAGAGGCGCGCGCGCGCGCGAGAGAGAGGCTGCGCGCAGCGGCGGGAGGAGCCCGCCGGGGCCCTGCTTGGAGGCCTCGTGGAGGCCTCGTGGGGGCGTCTTGGAGGCCGACTGGGCCACCCCGAGGTCGTGGAGCGATCTCTGGGCGGCCCGGGGCCCTCTTTTGGGCAGTCCTGGGGACCTCTTGGGGCCCCCCTAGCCCGTCTTGGGGCCCTCCGGGGCCCGAAACATCCAGCGCGGGGCGCGCCGAGCCGGGGCTCGGTTCTGGGGCGCAGCGGGGGGCGGCGGTCTTCGGCTGGGCGAGCTCCTGTAGACGAGCGCGTGCCCCTACTCGCAAAGTGACTGCTCGCACAGATGGCCCGGTTTTTCCCCGCGGAGGATCCACGATAAGTTACATCGCAGCAAACACGTGTCTTTCGGACGTTTGTGAGTAGGCACGTTGCGAGTAGTGCAGCGCGCTCGGTGATCCTGAGCCAGGCCCAAAGCCCCTCGGGCAATGAAGAAATCACGACGGGAGGTGTTCCGCTCTCTTCAGCCTGCGCGTGGGCCTTTGCCCTGGCCTCGGGACCGTCGAAGAACGGCTCAGGGTGACAAGCCGGTGCCGGGGAAGGGGTCCAGACCTCGACGCTGTGAAAAAATCACGACGTCGGGGGTCTGGGGAGCCAGAGGCTGCGGATTCTCGATGGCGGCGGTGGGAAGAAGAGGGAACTGGCGCCACGGCAACAACTCGCTGTCGCCACGGGGCTGCGGGGAACAACACCCTCCCCCCGCCCCCGCCACCCCCTGGGGCCTGAAGCGTCCGGGTCCGCCCGGGCACCGCTGCTGGCCAGGACTTTCTGGAGCCAAGCTCGGTGAAGGCACCGCCCTGGCTGGGCCAGGACGACGCATACACCACCCCTTGGCCAAAGAAGCTTATTTTTTGTTGGGTCTTTCTGTTTGTTCCAACCCTGGGCCGAGGACTGGCTTGGCGGAACTCTGTCGATGCGTATAGCCTCTCCTGCACGTTCTGCTGCAAATCACAACCGCGGGGAATGGGCTGCGCCGGGCGCTTACGCGCGACCTTACGCGGGCAGCTTACGCGTGAATGTCGGCGCAATCGAACTGGGTGATTTTGCGTCGCTCAGGTGGGCCCCAGCGCCGAGGCGAGAAATCCGTGCGGAGCTCCAGAAGCTTTGTCAGTGCCGTTGCTTCTTCTTGAGGCGTGATTGACCAGGAGGCAACACATGCGTGGGAGAAGCGTCCACCCCTTTCGTACCCCTTTCGGGCCCCAGAACGCCTCTTTGGAGCTTCTCTGGGGCACAAAAAAGTGCACATCCCCTCACCCCCCCCATTTATCGCTCCCCATTACAATGCGGGCACGGTCGCAAGAAACCATCGCAAGAAACCCGACCCCGAAAACTCACGCGCGAAGTACGCCTCAGGGGAAACCCCGAGCAACCTGAACGCAGCCGCTTCTTCAAGGCCGCGGGACGTCACCGCGCAGCGCGAAGATCGAAAAAAAAAGCAGGGTACCCCAGCGAACAACATTTGGGTTCTTGATGCGCGCCTCCACTGCACTCGAAGCCCGACCGCTTCGACCCCCACCGCCGCCGGGGCCTGGAGCGTCCCGATGCGCTCGGTCTTCTTCTCGATGGCGGCGGTTAGGATGTTGATCTGCTTCGTCTTCGCGGCCTGCCAAAGGGCCGCCGCGCCAAGGCTCTGGACGCCCGAAGTGGGTACGGAGGAAACGGGTACGTTGCCCAAAAATCGGCGACGCGCACCACAGGGGAAGGGAGGGGGGGGGGAAGGCTTCTTGGGAGCAGCTCTGCTTCTTGGAAGGCGCGGGCCGTGTCTTTAGATGTAAGAAGGCCGGCGCCTTCTAAGAAGCAATCTCCTTGTAAGATTGGGATGCCCGACATGGGTACTAAGTCAAACGGCGCAATGCCCAACAACACATGTTGCCCAAAACTGGCAGCGGCCGATGCTGGGCAGGCGGCTTTCTGTCTTCAGTGAATAGCGCCCGCGGCGGCGTGGACAGCGAGTTCTGTCCAAAATGAACAGGCACTGGTCTTGGGCATCGTACCCATTATTTCCATACCCATCTCGATCGACCCGATAAGAAGCCTTCCCCCCTCCAGCAGGCCCCGTGGCGCGCGCCGCCAGGATGCAGTGGCGAAGTCTGGCCTCGGGGCGTGGGGCGGCGTCGCGGACACACCCTGGGGTGGCCAACAAGGGAGGCCCGACCTGAAGGGGGGACAAACAAACAAATACACAAATCCCAGACTCCCCCATATGTTCCCATATTTTCCAAGACGACTGTGCACCGCAACTTGGCAGCGCGCACAAGGGGGCAGGGGGAGGGCGAAAGGCATCTCAGAAGGAGGCTTCTTCTTACAGGGCGCGGGCCTTACGTCTATAGGAAAGGCCCGCGCCTTCCAAGATGCAGGGTGCTTCTCAAAAACCTCCCCGCCTCCCAGTTACCCCCCTCTGCGCGTGGCCGAGCAGTCCCGTGCGCAGGAACTGCCGCCTCCTCGTGGAGCTGCAGGCAAGATCAACCAACACCAAATCGGGAAACCGGATGGGATCGGAACGTGTAACGGATCGGGCTCCATCGGCACGGAAACGAAGTCGGATCTGACTGGCTGCGCTAAGATGTACACCAACGTCATGCAAACATTACGAGGCGGAATCCATCCGTATCAACCGCATGCGGAACCGACGTGGTGAGACCCCAGAGGGTGGCGGGCATTGATGCAGGTTGGCCCAAGGTGGGCCGACTGTATCCATATCCATCGACTGCCGAAGTCACCAAAGAACGATCTCCCAGGCGGCGGTTCTGAATAAAGCCCCGCTTCGGAAGCATCTGGCCGCGTCGGATCGCCGAATACCGAGGTCGAGTCGGATCGGGTGGGCCAAAAACCTACATTGGTTCGAAATGGACCCTGTTGCGCCTGTGCAGTGGCTGCGGCCGTCGCCACAAAGACGCTCAAGGACATACTAATACCATGCGTCCTCCACGGGGGCGTGCATCCGACCGGGGCAAATCAGATAACCATATTGTAGCATATCGTTCACTGAGTGGAATGGCCGGGAAGCGCCCGCCACATAACCGATAGTATAAGAGTTTTCGGCACGCACGTCGCGGGGGACACCGAACACATAAAAGTAGTATTACTATTCGTAGTGGTAGTAGTAGTAGCAGCAGTCAGAAATATAATTAGTAGTAGTAGTAGTAGTAGTAGTAGTAGTAGTAGTACTAGAAGTAGGTGGTGGTAGTAGTAGTAGTAGTCGCAGTAGTAAAGTAGTAGTAGTCGTAGTCGTAGTAGTCATAGTAGTAGTAGTAGTAGTAGTAGTAGTAGTAGTAGTAGTAGTAGTAGTAGTAGTAGTAGTAGTAGTAGTAGTAGTAGTAGTAGTAGTAGTAGTAGTAGTAGTAGTAGTAGTAGTAGTAGTAGTACTACTACTACCACAAGTGCTAGTAGTAGTAGTAGTAGTAGTAGTAGTAGTAGTAGTAGTAGTAGTCGCAGTAGTAGTCGCAGTAGTAGTAGTAGTAGTAGTAGCAGTAGTAGTAGTAGCAGTAGTAGTAGTAGTAGTAGTAGTGGTGGTGGTAATAGAAGTAGTAGTGGTAGTAGTGGTAGTGGTAGTGGTAGTAGTAGTAGTAGTAGTAGTAGTAGTAGTAGTAGTAGTAGTAGTAGTAGTAGTCAAGAAAAGTAGTCTGGGGACTACTTCTTTGAGTATTGTTGACCATGTTGGATCATCTTTGGGGTTGTAGTTTTCGTCGAAAGCCCCCCTGTAGGGGGACACGCCCGACTGAACACTATCCTCCCCCTTGTTGGATGCTCGTTCTGGGGACCTTCCTGGAGCCACTCGCTCCACTCGTGCGTCGAAGCTGCGTCGAACGTCGGTCGATGTGGGTCGACCCTGAGGCCAACCTGAGTCGAACCCGAGTCGAACCCGAGTCGAACCTGAGTCGAACCTGAGTCGAACAGATCCGTCAGGTGGGCTCCAGGAAGGTCCCCGAAACGAGCATCGAACCCCTGCGCTCGGCCCGAGAGGGGGGCAGCCGGCCTGCCCACCGCGGAGCACGCGCACGGCAGGGAACCCACCGAGGCACGGCCCCCTCGCTGCGCGAGACCGGCCGCGCGGTGCGAGCACCTGCGCAAGGCGCACTCGCGAAGCCGGCGTGGACTCGTGTACGCGTACGTCCTCCTCTCGCTCCCGACGCTGCGCGAAAGTGCCCTCCCCGAGGCAAAACCGTGTCCCGACGATCTTCGGCGGACGCGGCACGGGACAGGCACAGCCGCCGCCGCCGGCGCCCACAGGGCGTGCAGCACTGACGTGCAGGGGCCTACGACGGGACTCAGGACGAGCCACCAGCCCTGCAGTCGGCCCGCATCGCAGGGACGCGCGACAAGGACGCAAAAGGGCCTCCGAAGGCCGTGCCGAGGCTTTTCTCGGGCCGGGCGAAAGCGGGAGCAAAGAGGGGGTTTGAGAATCAGCTTGCGTAGCTGATTTTCCCGGCGCCTCCCGGCGTTGGAGGCGGCTATGTATCGAGGACTGGGCCCCTCGGCGGGGCCGAAACCAGCTGCCTGCAGCAGACTTCGTAACCCCCCCTTTCCCAATCCCCCCCTTTCGTCCGGCCCGGACTTCTAGCGGGGCGCGGCCTACGCAAGTGGCCGAGGATGGGCCGAGGAGGCAAGGATGCAAGGGTACCCCAGAGTTCGTCATAAAAGGGAGGGGGTCTGGACCATCCAAGACAAGCCATTTCAGACCTCCCCCGTGGGAGAACCCCCCAAAACATCGTCCCCAGACCCCCCAGGCCCTCCAAGATAGCCTGGAAGAGACCCCCCCCCGAAATGAGACCCCCCTCCCTTTATTACGAAATCTGGGGTACCCTTGGGAAGGTTGCCCGTCCTTACCATGCGGGCTGACTGCAGTGACCTTCGCGTGCTTGCGGGGCCGCCGTGGATATGCGGGCACCTTTGCAGCGCGGGCCGCGAGAGGCGACGAGCCTCGCGCCCCCGTTATGGGCGCCGGCGCTCCCTGCCCCCTCGCCCTTCGGAACCGGGGCCCTGGTGAAGCCAAAAAGGCGCCGATGCCGCTGCTGCCCGGACCTCTCCCGGGTCGCGCTCTGGCCAGAAATTCGAAGCGAATCCGGCAGCGGCGACGAGGGCCTCCCAGGAGGCCCAAAAGGGCGAACGCCAGGCAAGGGTAGCGGCAGGGGCACCCTCTCCTCCTCCGAAGGGTGGCCTGGAGTTCCTCGAAGACCGCCACGGACTTCGCCTCGGCGTCCTGCACCTCCTTCAGGTTGGCTGCGAAATCGTCTTTCATCTGCTTCAGGATCC